TAAATATAATTACTTATTCTCCGTATCTTTAATGAGATTTAAAATAAACTAAATTATATCTTATATAGAAATTTTTCTAAAATTAAACCAATCGTATCGATAAAAAATTAATACTTCAATAACAGAAAATATCTTTTTTAGGTCATATATTAAATTGGTTTTGGGTGCAGCCCGGAAGAACAAAATAAAGTCCACGTGACTTTTTTCCTCATTAAAACGATTGATAACATTTTTGAAAAATTTTTAATATCACAAATTATAAGGTTAATTTGTATTATTAAAGATTAAAAACTTGAAAATTTTTTTCACAGACGCCATTTTATCTCTTCAAATCGAATTTAAATCTTATCAATGGATTCATATAAATAAAAAAAACAAAAATTAAAGTATCTTATCTGGAAATTATGCAACATCTTATCAAATTAAGAGATTATAAAATTTTTAGGGAAAACAAAACTACATACTAAGATAATACTACCTAAAAAAAATTAAAGTATAAAGAGTTCAAAGATTAAAAAGTGACTACTATTTAATTTTTTTCATAACTGAAATAAATTTGAATAAAAGTTAATTGTTCTATAAATATTGGATTTCTTAATTTCAAATAAATAATGCATAAACTGAACGTTTTAGATATTCCAAAGTCAGATCAATTAATACACCACTGCAAGTATTCAATGATTCAACCCTCACCCTCACATTGTACAGAAAACATCTATTAATATATAATCTAATCATTGAGAATACTTGAAAATATAACAAATTTCCAAACAACTATATGAGCAGTTCACTTCGAAGATCTATTCGAAGACTTTATCAATATACAGCTTATAACTATAAATATTTAATCCAATTTGTATTATTAATTATATATCAATACAGAGAATAACTTTTACTTGCAATTATATAATGTTAAAAATTATAAGCATTGGGAAAAAGAACTAGTCTAATACACAACAAACAGCTGTTAATACATGATTTGATCATTGTGATTATTTGAAAATCACGTCGATATACGTCAAACAGCAATTATTGCTATAGGGCTCCACTTTACATATATTTTTGAAGTATGAAACATTTTTGAATATGGAAATTGTAACTAACAGATCTAATGTGGCAAGTATCGCCAACATCGCCTCAAGTTACTCTAGTCAATTCTAATCCTACGTCTAAAAGAAGTACTTTAGTTACAAGATTTATTGATGTTAAGTATTTAATTTTATACATAACATTCTAATTAAATTTTTGTTTAAGTACTTCTTATAACAGCCGTATATGCCACCTTATTTATCTATGAATACACTATAGCTCATGTTATTATCGTTAAATAAATCGTTTTCCGAAACTGTATTTATATAGCACAATCTTCGATTTGCTAAGATTTCGATTTTTTTAATCTTTTGAAGTCATGTACTCTTGTCTTTCGCGTCTTTCTAAAAATAATATATCCTTAACTTCTATATTAGTGTCTTCCTATTCTCACTACATTTATCGGTATTATTGCGAATATTGATCATCTTTTGATACTAAAAATTTTATCCAAATTAGGTGAAGTCAATATTTACTATACGATATCATATCCAATAGTACAAATTTGAGTGACAGACTTTAAATGATAATAACCGTATTGAGATGGCTTTTAGCTACTCCCAAAACATACACAATATTTCCAACAATATTTTCCATGCAATATTACTGGAAAAATTGATTTCTGAAGAATTAAAAATGTTAAAGTATGGTACTCTATAAGATCTAGTTTGCTAAGGAATTAAAATGATTATTAAATTTTGTGTGGATTTTATCACTTACATCTCATCAGTTAAATTGTTTATATATTTATATGTACACAGTAAAAATTTTTCTATAGCGAATCGTAATTCAAATTGAAGGAGATTTTCATAAAAATCTAGTTGCATATATATGTATTCCAATAATTATCACATAATACGTGCTAAGGATTTATAAATTTTAGATCTAATATAAAAAAAATGAACACAAATAGTGTTGTTGTAAACTGCACGAAAATCAGACATGTCTTTTGGAAAGGAATAAGCGATTCTTTATAGATTATAGCTTTAAGACGCATACCCAGCCACTACAAAAATCAATGAGAAATATTATGTATCAATGAATGATGATTTTAGAGAAAAAGAAAATTATATCAAGAAGGAAAACATATAGTATGGTGGTTTGAAAAAGAAATATCAAAACTCTACCGCTATCAGAACCATTTAATAATGAGTGTTTATTAAAACCATAAATTATGTCTCTCTTCTATATGAAATTGGAAAAATTGCAGAAGTTTCAAAAAAATTTATCAATGCCCTCTTGTTATCAAAACAATTAATTATTTAACGGGTCTTTCGGCTAAAGCCATATATGTATATCTTAGTTATTGATGCCTAGCTTTAATAGAAGTAGATACCAACGTAAAAAAATGTTTTCTACTGAAATGGTTAGTTAGTTTTAAACAAAAAAAAAATGGAATATTATATACCATAACAAACAACAATATGAGGTATATTTATATATATTTTTATACACATCTATATTGAAAAACAATATGTATTGGTAACCGATGAGTTTTAACTGGTAATAAGGTAATCTTATCTTGCTTAGTTATTTTAATGTGTTATGGCTTTATAAAAATATATGTACATGTGTATATATAAAGTAACTCATATAATGACTTTTCTTATTAGGAATTAAGACCACCTACACCTTTTTAAAAAAAATTGTTGTTGTTAGTTTGCTGCAATGCTTTCAACAAATAGTTGAAATTTGTTTTTATTGCACACAACTGCCCCTCCCAACCACCCCAATAATAAAAACAATTCTATTAACATGTGTTTTGCACTTTCTATCTATAAGTAATTATAATTCCAGCGCACGATTATTTAAATACAATTTGGATTTGGTTAAAGGCACACATTTGTATACAAAGCACAACGCTGCTTTGCTTATTTGTCTAATACACCTTCTCTATTAAGACGTGTTAAGAAGAGAGTTGGATGCCTCAGTGTATACGACACATAATCACATAAATGTCTTGCCTTGCCTTAGCAGTAGGTCATCTAACGAACCACCCATGACAAAAATATGTATGTATGTGCGTTGTTGCTCATTCTTTTTTTTTTGTTTTTTAATTTTATGTTATTGTTATTGTTGTTTAAATTTTCTAATTGTCTTAAACAAATTAGATATTTTTAAATTTTTCTGTGTACGTTTTAAAATACATTGAAACTTGATTGGAATTATTTTTTATACGGTTTTTTAATTGTTTACTATTATAACTAATTTCTGTTGTTATATTAAATTTAATTTTAATGCTGGAGGAAACAATATAAATATAATTTTTTTTTATAAATAAATATTCGTTTATTTCTATACATAAGATTTAAATTATTATTAACTTATAAACAATTTTTCATATGTAAAAACAAAGAATATTTTTTCATTCAAAGGGTTTTATATAGAATTTCATTAATCAATTAATTATTCATATATTTTCACGAATTAAAAATTAACATAATTATATGCAAAAATGAACATAAAAATGTAAAAATAATATAATCAGACAAAACTTTTTATATGAGAAGCCAAGCTGATGTTGCTGCTGCTTTTTACTTAATTTCGGTTGTGTAGATTTCGTATCTGTTACTGTTGTCTTTCTTGTTAACGCTGTCTGGCGAATTTTTGTACAATCATATTCTGCACTAAATTCCTTATTTAATTCGCAAAACAAGAACAATGAAAGAGCAAAGCAACAATAGTCAGAACATGTGTATTAAAAAGGAGCAGCGATAACCGCAATGCGGCAAACTAAACGGTACGAAACGGTTCAGAATATCAACCACCCGAGCGCAGCGAAGAAGAAAACAGAAAATATACGAGTGTATAGTGTATTATGCTCTCCACGAATAACACAGTAAAACAAATAGGCAGACGTTTATGCGGAATAGAAGTCAAAACGAATGAAGAAATTAAATTACTGTTGCTCAAGAGAAAAAGTAAACAAAAGTAAGTAAAGAAGTAGCAAAAATACCGATGCAGATATATGAAAGAAGAAATAACAAGAAGGAAAAAAAAAGAATGTGTGCGAATCGGTACGACACGAATAAACAAATCAGATGAATCGGTTGGAATGGTATGAGTAAAGCATGATATGAAACAATTCTGTCTTTACATGAAAATGAATAAATATAACAGAAGATAAAGAGATGGAAAATAATATGTAAAGCAATAATGAAAATTGTTAGGTATAAAAAGAAAAAAAAACAAATTTCGCACTTTCTTCAAAAATATATTAGAAACATTTCAAAAAAATCTTAAGAATTTATTTCTTCAATATGTGTGACAACACACGTTGCAGCATAAATGTATGTTTATGACAAATATTAATCTAAATTTTAATACAAATTAATAATGTGGAATTTCAATTATTTGTAGAGATAAGATAATCAGATTAATCAAGTATACTTGAATCATCAAATTTGCAGCAGTTGTTTTAATAAAAAGAAAAAAAAACATATATTTCTTACGTTATTCATGCTAATAATTTTTAACTGCTTTTTGCAATACTTGAGTGGTGAGGAAGGAAAGTATTTCTACCAAGGGAGGAGCACAATATGGCTGATAATTAACTGAAGTTTGCTTTCAAATATAATTTTTATTTTGCCTTCTATATCGTTCTGTGGAAGGAAATAATTTCCCATATGTTCATTTTGACACATAGTGAGACAATAATTTATGCACATTTTTCAAAATTAAATAAAATAAACTCAGTTTTTTATTTTATAAAAAAATTCTAACTTATTAACCGTTATAACAAATATGTCGGCAAAATTGTTCTGTGTATTTGTAAATGTGGAGAGTTAAATACTAACAATATTTTGTATTCCTGCTTTGCAAAAGACGTTTTGTAAAAATTTATATCACATTAATTGCTTAAAATTATATATGATAATAATAATAATAATATGAATCATTTTTATATTTACCATTTTATCTATGTTTCTTGTTTTTTTGAAAAGGGGTTATATATAATAAAAAGCTGGATTCGCTTTGGTAATCCTTTGCTGAAAAGAAAAAGACCACAAATCCGTAAGAAGTTGTTAGTTGTTGCTTTGCTTATTGGTTGATTTGTAAAAAATATTTGTTGCTTAGGTGGCGAAATACCAGAACTGTTTTGCTTTGCTTAAATTTTCCGTTAATTTTCTTTTCGTTCAATTTTTCTTATTTCGTTCAAACATATGTTTGCCCAATTATGCCAAGAAATAAATCGGCAGTTATATAGATGAAGCGGTGCTTTTTACTTAATATATTTCAAAATATATTTCAACACTGCATAATTAAGTAAATTTAACAAAAAATTTTCTTCATATATTTCAATTCAAAAATTTTGTAGTTAAACTATTCTCAATTTGACATATAAAGAAAATTTAAAGCTATTTTACTTCAACACGCACACACTACAGTAAAATTATTATTTGACATTTACAGTTTACGCAAAGCAAAGTATATACATTTATTTGTTTAAACAAAATATTTTTTTTAATATTATTTTATTTATAATAGAAGTAGTAGTAAAAAAAAATACCCGCAAGTGCTTCTAAAAATGTGTACAAACGACTCGCAAGTTAATTCAAGTCCGACACGATGAACAACTAAATTGCAACTGAACTGTTCAGTTTCGTTTCTTATTTGAATTTGCTATTTGCTAGTTTTTTTCATTTCACATTTCGTTTTCTTTTCGGCGCTCGTATGTGTTTACTTCGTTTATTTTCCCCTCTTTTTCCGTAATTTTTTAATTCCAATTCTCCCATGTATTCATTTTGTTGACAGCAAACGTAGAGCAGAACTATACCTTCTGTCATTTCCCAACAATATTTGTTTCGTTTTAACTATTAACAGGTCTTCACTCACAAAAAATTTGTTATATCGCTACTGATTGTGGTAGAGTTTTTTCTGTTTTATGTTGCCTACTTCTGCATTTCTGCACATTTACCACTGCAGGGCTGCAAATTCTCTTTTGCATTGGAGTAAACCGCCAATTTTAGCAATACAACAGCATAATAATAAGGGGAAAATGGTATTGAAGTTAATATTGTTTAAGGCCACGAAACAACTAAACGAAAATTCGTTACTTCTGTATACTTTTTGCGCTCAAATTGGAAATATTCTGCAAAGACGTGTTAAACGTGATTGTGTTTGTGCAAAAGAATAAATTATGCTCTTGGAAAACTTGGAGAAAGATTTTATTTATGTATATTTTAAATTAAATAATAAATCTTTTGTTATTTTAATTTATAATTTGTTAATAATTTAAAACATTATAATTTATGTTGTTAAATTTTCTATATAACAAACTAATATCGCGTGACTGCGACGAAATATATTCATGCTGGAATATCCGGTTCCATTGAGGAACATTTAAATATTTGCTGCAAAATGGCCTCCAATCGTTAGTACAATTTTTGATTTTGAACAATTTTTATTTATTATCGGAGTTTCAAGCAGTTTCAAGGTAAATTATTTAGTTTAATTATATTAAAATTAAATTAATATATTGTATTAGTTAAGAAGAATTGTTAAATAAAATTTATAAATTAATATTCAAGCCCAACCAACTAGAGGAGCTATTAAACTTTACAGCGCTGCCTTAAATAGCAACTGTTTCCGTATACATTTTTTGATCACCTTTATTTTATTTGTTTTTATAATTATTATTAAAATGAAAATAGTTAAAAATAATAAAATTTATTAAAATACACACAATATATTATACGATTTGTACACTTTAAAACTTACAAAACTTAAAAATATTCGCGCCATATTTAGCAACCCTCGATCACTTGCGCGGGTGTACGACATACTCCTCTAGGTAAAATTTTTGAATAGCTTCTTCTTATTTTTTGAAAATGATAAAAAAATTTGTTTTTTTTCAAAAATTTTTAAATTATTATTAAAGAAACTCTAATATTGAAGACTCTATTAATTTCTTCAAAATTAAAGTGAGGTATTCCAATACCTCGTAAGTAACGGCGTTTCAGAACGATTAATGGGTAATAAGCAAACTTATATGTTGTATAGCTGATGCTTCTTGTCTTCTTCTTCAACTTTTGACTGTAAGTTGACGTAATTGGTGAAAAACATTGATGTCGTACGAGTTCTTCTTTTTACTGGAAAAATATATTTACATATGCATATGTAATTTGTAGAAAGGTTAGATTGTTATAGATATTTTAAAGTCTACATAGATTGTTATAAATCTGAAACTGCATTCTGTTTTAGGAGTGTTCCAAGATATGTAGTATTTAATTGTTAAAATATAAAACAAATTGTTTTAAGTTAAATACTGGTATATTTTATTTCGAATACATTTTTGAAATAACTGTTTAATCGTTGAAATTAAAAAATAGGTTTTCGATTTGATCTACTTTTTTGTATAATATGACGAATAGTCAAAAAAATAATCTTAAAAATTATCTCTATTTGAAAAGTGATCTCCACATTACGAATGTCAGCTTATGCTATTAATAGAATTTTGAAGACACTTAAATAAATAGAAAACGAATGTTACAGAGTTTCGACTATAGATACAAGACACAACATCTAGACTATAGACCTTGTATCATCTGCTTGATGAAACTCTTCGTAAAGTGATCTAAGCAGTACATAAATTCATATTACGATATTAATAGAGTTTTAAAGACGCTCAAATAAATAGAAGTTGGATGATACAAAATCTAGACTATAGACACGAGATACAACGCTTAGACCTTATATCATTTTGATGCTTTAAAATTTTCCATTCAATCTTTTGCAATTTTTGCTCTGCAATTACAGCATAATATGGTCAAACGTTGGTCAAAGATAACGTTCTTTTTTCCTCTTAATTCTAACCGCTTCTCCTGAATCAAAATATTATTACCAGCTAATGGTACATTTTAGAATTATGAGTTTTGGTAACCAGTAGTAGGAAGATAAAGTGAAAGAAAGATTAAATTGTCCTCGTTTAAATACGATCTGCAAGAGATTCGACAGAGTAAGCTCAGCTTTATTTCTAGTCGTTCTAGTCGTTAAGTGTTTCATGAAAACTAAAATTATCTTAAATACTTTTAACTTACACCTGTTGATTAAGTCGAACATGCTAAATTTGAAGTACGTAGGCCATAACACTCGTGACTTGGCTGTTAAAGAAATATTAGACTAATTTCTGGTAGATTGTCTCAAAACATGATTGTTAGGAAAAGGGATTGATTTAGGAAGATTTATCAAAAAGACTCCAATCCAAATCAAAATTGAATTGAAAAATTACCTAATTAAGTGAATTATTGAACATTGAAATAGCTTTTATAGTTACATGAGTGTCAGTGAGAACGTATGCTTTTTTTTTGTGAAAATCTGTGATCGCAGCAAGAGGGTAGGTACTTAGAATTGCAAAAACTTCTGCCTGAAATTTTGAAACAAAATCTTTACATTCCTAGGTTCATGTAAAAATTTTCGGCTTTACCTTTACATATCAAATCGCTAGCTGCCATTCTTTTGTGGGAGTTCTCTTGGTAAAGTTATTATCAGTGTTTAAACTCTTAACTAGTAACTTAAGCATAACATTATGCGTGCTAATAGGTGACAATCTTACTGCTTCTATACATCTTACGCACACTAAAAGCTAGCTTTGCAGCCTAACATGTCTTTAAAGCTAGTTTGAGGTCACTAAACTAGACATCCGTAACTTAAGATTTTTTTAACAATGGTAGTGTATATATAATCAAATAATTACGTTGGCACGTAATTCCCAAATCTTACCATCCACTTTACGGTACAAATGACTATACATACTTTATAAAATCTTTCCTCAATATTAAGCACCCAGTAAGTTTTTTATCCTAAATTACTCCTAGGTACTTAACCTTGCGCGAAATAGTGAGGCCATGTATAATTTTGAATTTTATATTTGTTTGTTAACACCAAAAACTCGATCTTAGTAGGTTCAAGCCCACACTCAACTGCTCCTTCTATTATGTTACTCAAAACCGAGGGGAACAAGCCTGTTACTAAAAGAACATCATCATTGGCATACGCTGCTGCTTTAACTCCTCTATGATCAACTTTCAGAATTAGTGGTTTCGTTGTTATTAGTCATAGAAGAGAAGATAACGTCTCTCCTTGAGAAGGACCTACCTCTCTTGACACATTTCTTAATGTTAACATTGCGACTAATTATAAATGTTTTTCCTAAAGCGATATTAGCTTGGATACTTATTCTATTCCATTCATCTCTCATTCCATTGAGAGCTTTCTGAATGGCTCCAAAAGTAACATTCCTTCTATATCTAAGAAAGCAGCCATTATACATATATTGTTGCGCTAGAGAATTTCTACTTTGGTAACTACTTCACGCGTAGTCATTTCTATGGATTTTGGTTTAAAATTTGCATGGAAGTTTTCGAATTATGTTAAGAATTTTAAGCAGGAATGAAGTTAGGCTGATGGGTCGAAAATATTAGCTGCATTGTGACCTGTAGCAGCAGTAACTTATTATGTCAGAATAAACCTAATTCTAGTTCATAGTTTTCTTGTGATTCTAGCCTTTTTCCATTATCATCATTTCATTACTTTTTTCACTTTCATTTCATTTAATTTTTTCAAAATATATATACGGGCCTAAGCCTGTTTTAGTAAAAAGGAAGTTAATTTTAAATAAATTATTATGTAAAGAAATACAGTCAAACTTCCATAACTCAGAAGTTCAGAGCACAGAAGTTATAGTGAAGTAAAATATTCAGAAATTAGGGTTAGGGTTTAATTTTTTTTTTCTTATTTTTTGTAAAAAGAGATTCCAATTTATTAAAACTCTTATAGTGATCAATACAAATAAAAATTTAGAGTTTTATATGACTTTTCTACTTAATTCTTAGAAGGTTGATAAACAATTTCATTCACCGAACCCTCAATATCACTTTCCATTACGCTTAGAATCGGATCCACTATAATGAGAAGAGTTATAATGCGCAATAATATCGTCATCTGTAGGAAAGCTTGATGTACCTACAAATTTCATTGTCAAGCTCAAAATAATCGTTAAGAGTAGCATTGGAAGTTATTTTATTAACTTTACTTTTATATCAATTCACGGACTGCATCAATGTTATTCAAGAAAACTGAAGGAATATATCGTTCTGTTCGTCCCAAGTTCAGAAATTATAGAAAATAAGCAAAATCCAGCTTTTTTAAAGCAGTGCACTACCGTTTGCGAGGGACTGGCATTTGCGCAAAGAAGCAAAATAAATAAGAAAAAATTGAAACATTTGTTTTGGAAAACGGGACTTCCCCTTACACTAGAATGGATTCATACTTACAACAAAAATTCGACTTATAGACAGCACTTTCCCATATTACTCTTGACACGTGACAATATTTTTGTTCGAGTTATAGAAAATTCAAGTTATAGAACTTCGAGTTAAGGAAGCAGAATTGTATGTATGTATGTACTTTCTCTCTAAAACCCTGTTGCATTCTTTTTAGTTCGAGGTATAGAGAAATTTGAGTTATAGAAATTCGAAGTTATGGAAGTTTGTCTGTATTTTAAATGAGAATTTCTAGTTCAATTTAATATTTAAAGTAAAATAAATATTTAAATTACATAGACACGATATAAGCAAGATTTAAAGAAAGAAATAGACTTATGACGTTAAGAAGATG